TTTCTGAAAAGGTCTTGAGCGTAGTTTCAAAACAAACAGATATACGTCGTCAATTTTCTAGAGAGATAAAGATTAAATTATAAAAAAACATTCATAGCCTTGAACGTAACATCAAAATAAAAATAATGTTAATGAAATAATGAATTAAACGGACGAATAGACACAATATTTAAGAAAGAAATATCATCAATTAGAAATCAATTATCTCTACCATATTTGCACAAATGTTGTGATCAAATATTATACAAAACTGATTTATATAATATTATAGTATAAATTTTAATTATTAAATAAAAATCAAATCTATAAAGTAAATATATAAAATTAAAATAATATTAAAATAAATATAATATTTATCATACTCAATTTATTATACTCAATTTATAATTAGATATGATCAAAAATTTATAATATTTATAAATTACCGGTAACTAACAAATGGATAAACAACGAACAAACCGATAACTGACAAAGAAAGTTAAAACGATAATAAAATTTTGATATAATAATATTTAATAAATGATTAAATATATACAACTATTAATTAAATAAATAGATTATAATAATTATAATAATTTATAAATTATATCACAATCAAATAAAATCAAATTTATATATAAATATTATATGCAAATATATATATGCAAATGTACATAAATAATTATATGTACCGATACAACGAATATTATTCCCACGATTCTTGACAATAGACTAATATTACTGCGCACTAGCGATTCGTCTAGCTGCTAGGTCTTAGCAATTTTCTGATTGGTTAGAATCGTCGGATTTTTTACTCACTTCAATCGTATGAAAATTAAAGTATAATATAATAATTTTAAATAACTTAGATTTCTATATATCGAAGTTTTAAAAAGATACATTAATTAAAAATATAAAAAGAATATATATATATATATATATAAATTGTTTTTATAAAATATTATTAAGAATATATGTACATATATATACATGCAAACATACACACATATATACATACATACAATATTTTTTCAAATTTTTAAGAAATTTTTTTGTTTTATAACGAAACAATTTTTTATATTAATAAATAATTATTTATTTATTATTTAATCTTCATAAGTAAGAGAAAAAAGTTCGTTATAAGTGAAAGATCAAAGTGAAAGTGAAAAATCATAAATCTTGACATCCGTTCGAAATCGTTTAATGAGATAAGACATCGTTTTCTAAAAAATAATATTGTTGCTTGGTCTATTATTTTATAATTTGCTGTTATCTCGACTTGCTGTTGCTCTTCTGTGTTTTTTCTTATTTCATACAAGAATAAAAATAATAATATTGTATGCTGTAATAAACGATCCTGAATCATGTTCATATCGAAACAATACTTTTTTATAATAAATTGTTTTGATTTATATCTAATTTAAAGTTTTTATAATAAAATTAAATTTTAATGTCAACTATTATCAATATTACAATCATTTTTGTGTTGAAGCAATACCATCATAATACATAACAACATTCAAATTCTTGTGACACGAAAAAGCATTGCATGCCATATCTATTCAGTATCTCATCTGTGGTTATTAATTTCAATAGCGCTATTGTCTCATTCCGTTCTGAATCGATAATGTCGCATGTGATACAAGTAAATTCTTACGTAGTAGAGCGCATTAGTATCGCGAACAGGTATCCATGTATATTACAAATGATATGTTGCTGTCAAATTTAAGAAAATATTGATTGCATTTTTTTTAAATAAGAGCTATTTTTTGACAAGAGTAAGTGTTATATAAGTATATGAGAATTAACATATAAGATTAAGAATATTTTAATCTGTTGTAATTAAAGGTGTTTGATATTAGTATTGATCTCGTTATATATCGTTATATGGTTAACCTATATTAAAACATTTATACTTTTTTGAATAACATTTTGACATATCAAAGAAAATTGTGTTGTTATTAAATAATTAGATCATGTGAATGCGATTTATGTAGTAATTATATAGAATTCATAAATATAGAAATTGTATATAGAATTGCATAATGTTAAATATTGTTTTTCAATATTATGCATGTAACCTGTACTTTTAAATATTCAGTCTATATATATATTACATCACTTTTTCTTTTTTTATAAATTTAGTATTACAGTTTATTTAATTTGATATAGAAATTCTATAAACTTGTTTTTTTTATTAATGTTAAATAATATTATATTTATGATATTTCTCTCTATAAATCTAATATGAAATATAATAAATCGACTAGGTTAAGTCAAATGTATTTTGAACATCATTTAAATATTTTTATTAAATAAGTAAATATCATTTATCAACGAATGATTATCATTAATCCTGCTTATGCTAAAAAATTGGTTGTTCAAAAAAAAATTATTTAATCGATAAAAAAAATTTTAATTATTTTTTTAATTGATAGTAATATAAAATTTTTTATTACTATATATATAGGTGTTGAATTTTATGCCAAAGTTTATTGGATTAATTATCTATTAATGAAATATTACTAATAATTATAATGGCAAATTATCAAGATACGGATAAGACTGAAGATTTCATGAAATATTACAAATTTGATGGCCAATCTTATATATATAATGATCCTACGAATAATGTGACATATAAGTTTGATCAAGAAAAAAATGAATGGGTGGTAAAAAATACGGAAGAAGAAACAAATGTTAAAAATTCAAATGATAATGAATCTAAGACGCAGGAAGGAGTATTTGGTTTTGAAAACGATACTCATACATACACAGATCCTAATGATGGCAGTGTGTACTTTTGGGACAAAGAGAAAAATGCATGGTTTCCAAAGGTGAGACATGTTATTATTATTATTATTATTATTATTATTATTATTATAATTTTTTTTACAAATATTTTATTGTTCACATTCATGAATGAGTTATTATTAAAATATGTTCCATATATATTATCATAAAAATAATGATTACTTTTTTACTTTTCAGGTGGATGAAGATTTCATGGCAAGATATCAAATGAGTTACGGATTTACAGATGCAAATCGCATAGAAACAAAACCTATGCAACAATCTCAATCACAAGGAAAGGTCGATAAAGAGAAAAAGAAGATGGAAGCCAAAAGAAAATCACAGGAACCACCGACCTGGTTCGAAGTGGATGAAGCCCATAATACTGCTATTTATGTGTCTGGTCTACCATTAGATATTACTATGGATGAACTTACCGAGCTTTTCAACAAGTGTGGTCTCATAGCGCGAGACGAAAAAGGAAAAGACAAGATCAAATTATACAAAGATTCGAATGGACAACCAAAGGGTGACGCTCTCTGTATCTATATAAAGGTAAGTAACTATTTATAATTATATTTATATAAATCGTTTGCAAATATGTGTAAGTTATATATTAGATTCGAATTATGAAATATGAAATATGAAATTTTATTAAATTTTCGAATCCGAGCATCGGATTGATATTTTCGTATTCTCGCGTACTTTCTGCGTACTTTTATCCTTGATAATTATCTTTCGAGAATAAAAGTGCATTCTTGAGCATCTGGATTTCTGACATTTTCACATTTTCATCATACTGTTGTGCATTAGCATTCTTTTTAATTTAATCTTGTTTACATTCGGAAAAAATAGTGACAACATACACTTGAAATGACATCTAGTCATGCGCGAAACATTATTACCATATCTAGTAAGAATTGATATAAATTAAATTTTCGGAAAGGAAGCTTTTGATATTTGTAAAAATTTTTATATCAATAATAAATTCGTAAAATTTTGTTTTCAAATAATTTTGTTTTCAATTAATTCAAAATATATATACATTGAATATTACGAAAGAATATAAATTTTTTTAAAAATTAGCCAGTACAATTATTATCATTGAAACGAGTTATAATATCATTTGACATTTGCAATTTTTATTGATATAATGTACATCATATTAAATACATGATGAAAAAGAGATTTCAATAATATTATTATATTTCGCGAAGAATAATGTTACATAATGATTTATCGATAATTTATCACGAATAAATCGTACGTTTACATTATACAATATAATAATAAATATAATTTACAATTTTAAAACACATAGTATTGTATATACATCCGTGCATAGATACACATGCAAACACACACACACACACACACACATACACACACAACTAAATTGATATGTAAATAAAAGAACAATGCATGTAAATATAAATAAAATATCTTTGAAATATATAATTAGCTAATTATAATTTAGCTAATTAATTTTATCAATTTAAATTTTGAAACATTCTAATGATAAAAAAGTTTTATTTTACTGTATAAGTTATATTTACTTCTAATAATATTATTAAATTAAAGTATAAAAAATAAAAATCTTAGGAAATTTATATCAATATTTTTATTAATGTTAAATATTTTTATTAAATAAATTATTAAATATTAATAACACAATATTAAATAACACAATGTATAGATAAATCAATTATATATATATTTTTTTGATCTTTTTTGTACATGTAATTGTATCGATATATAATATATCGATATATAATATATAATAAGTCAAAATAATCATTTTTTTTTTAATCATTTCATTGTAATAGCGTGTATTCTTAAAATTTTGAAAGTAGCGATTAACAAGTAATTATCATTATTTAAATAATTATTAATTATGAATTTATTAATTTAATTTGATCAAATATTTATTTGATGCAAAAAAATATTTATTATTTCAAAAATATTTCTTTGTGTTAAAATAAAACAGACATTCATTCAAAATATATTATATTATTTTTATAAAATAATTATTTCTTTAAAACTAAATTTTTATCACTCAAAAATAAGGTAAAAAAAGTGAGAAAAATTACTTTTTTATGAATAATTATTTTTTTTTTTTTTTTACAAAAAAATTTAAAAAATACAGATGCATTTAAATATATTCTTACTTTCGAATTTTATTATCTTTTCTTATATATCTAAATACCTTTGAATGCTATATATAATACCAATGAGCGAAGCAATGAGCGAAAATTAATATTAAAAAATAGAATTCGCAAATAGTCAATCCGCATTTCATATATGTTAATTAAATAAAGAAATAGATACAATTAAAATGAGAAGGAATATTATAATTATAATTATATAGTATATACGTGATACATCGAACTATTATTTTATCGAAATAACTTTAACTAATTAACTAATTAATTAGACAGAAGTACTTACATACATTTTCAAAAATCTTACATTTATTAAAAGAGAGGAACATGAGAGACTATTTTGCCAATCTAATCTGTGAATAAATTATTTCAGTCTGTGCTCGATAACCTTTAATAGAATCTAAACGATTTTCATCTTCCATAAAGTTAAAATGAAAACTAGAATTAATTTGATTAATTTTATTCAATTCATTATTTGATAAATCTATTATTTGGTAAATATTATATCAATTTGGAAGATTTTTTTGAAATAATAATGATCAATGATCAATGATCAATGATCAATGATCAATGATGTTTAAAGTCCTATAAAGGAATTAATAATATACAACGTTTTGCTTATGGCTTTAAAAACCTTTTAGAACTTCTTCACTCGCCAAGTTGATTCCAAAGATTTGAGGAAAAATTCTATTTCTATCGGTTAGACTTTGCGGATCGTTATTGGATCCATCGGCTAGAAATGCATTGTATTCTTTTTCTTGAATTTGTGCCATTATCGGTCCAGTTTTATTCGAATGATGCCGCATTCGTGGATTCGAATCATACATTTTTTCGTTGCTGTAATTATAATTTTCATAATTTCATAATTAAAGTAAAAATTCCTATAAAAATTGTTGTAAAAATTGTTTTGATGATGATAAAATGATATAAAATATAAAATATTTTTATTTAAAATATAATGATTTCTTAATCGTTATTATTATTATCATTATCATCAATCACCATTATCATCATCATTATCATATATATTATGATCAAGTTATTTTGATTTTTATTTCAACTTTGTACAAAATTTTTGTAAAAATATTGTGATGCATACTATAAGAATTTTTTATTTATTTAGAAATTTCTAATAATTTTTGAGAAAATTTTCCTTTTTTCTTAATAATATTTTTTCGCGTTATTATTATTATTATTATTTAGTATTTATAAGCAATTCGTTAATAAGAATCATTTATCTTTCATATATGGTTATATATTGTCGAGAAAATTTTTATAATAATAATAATAATAATAATAATAATAATAATAATAATAATAGTAATAATAATAGTAATAATAATAATAATATAACATGATATCTTACTAAGATGGTGGCCTTGAACCCAATTTCACACCATGTGCCCAATCGTCTGCATTTTGCTCTACATAATTTCTTTTTTTCCATGCATTTCGCTGTTTGTTCCGTCCATTTGACTTGTGCGATTCATTTAAATATTTTTTACCTTTCTTTCGGGATTTTTGATTTTGCAATGCACGAGAATTCGCCGTTTTTTTACGCCTTCTGACTATAATTTAAACAGATACATATTCATAACATACAGAACACATATTCATAAATTATATTCATTTCGTTATCAAAATATCAAGCGAATTATCTTCTTTTACTTTGATATATACATGGAAAACGTAATTATTTTAAATGATATGCCAATCTTTTAAATGTACAATTTTTTTTGGAAATTTTACCTATACGTCCAGCCAGTACCTCGCATACGTAATGTTTTCGTTCGACGCAACTTTGTGGTCTCCATTTATACTTTAACGTGGGATCGATCGTGATACAGTGCCACGCGTATTGTTTCGATCGATTAAATTTAGGTAGACCAAAATTTTGAAAATGTACTTTTTCTCCAGTCATACCCCATTCCCAAGTCATTTGTTGCCAATTGTATATTCCACCGATCCATCTTTCTAATTTTGCTATGATATAATATTTTAATCATTTTAGATATTTATTTAAATTTTAAAGTAATTAATTCTAATTTGTTATTATGAAAATTTATAAATAGTAATTTGTAAACATTATAATATTATATAATTATAATTAGAAGTATGAAAGCGTAAATTATATATATATATATATATATATATATATATATCCATAATTTTTGCATGGAATATATCGCAATTTTATATAATTTATCAAATATTTTAAAAGCGATTTTACTAAGAATAAATAGTAGATTTTTATCATATTCATTTAAAAATATAATTACTAATTTTTTTTTTAATCGTAAATATTCAAATTTCACTTACTAAATTGATCGTTCCACAAATATTTTCTTAACATTCGATCCTTCCCATTTCTATCGAGAATAGCCAGAGTGGCATTTCTATCTTTGCAGTGAAAATAGGCCTCTCTCCAGGGTGCTGTCCCGCCGCTTAAATAATAACAATATCTGTTCAATCGAAAGAATCCTATGGGACACGCGTATCGCTTTATGCCATTATTTTGCCGACCAATTCTAGGCCGGCTCGCAGCTGTTTCATCAAAATTGATATTATGCGTTTGTACCGCAAATATACCTGAAAAATAAGGGCAGATATTTTTTATTTTTAATTAAAATTACATCATATGTATATATATTGTAAATAATCACATAAAATTTCACAATTCGTATAATCTTCGTTCAATTTCATTCTCATTTTTTTCAATTTCTTTTTTTCTATCTTATCGCTAAATGCGGATATATTTATGAAAAACTTGACACGTTGGTAAATAAATTACATCTTAAATTGTATCAGATTGTATTTTAACAATATTCGTCTTTTTTCTCGTATTATTCGAACCAAGGAATTTTACTACCTACTCTCTAGAATTGCGATGGTATATTTCTCGTTCAAAGAAATTCTCGAGAGAAAGAATACAACAATCTTACCTACATATTCCGCGTAAATTTCCCTCTCGGTGTACATCCAAGTCGTATGCAACGAGTATTAAACAAATGCATCGCATTTACGAGCGATTTTATCTCTCGGTAAAAATTGATGATCCATATCGAGACATGGATACAAAAATGTAGCGTGATAGCAAATTCATTACGTCACGCGTTTGCACAGTGCAGCAGGGTTAAGCATTCTTATAATTAGTTCAGTGTTACGGTCATTCTCCTCTCCGTGCAATAATTTCTTTCGTCTCTCACGGCTATCCTTTTAAGGAGATAATCGCAGGAAATCCAGTATAAAATGTCGGATGCAGCCTAGTTATTCGAGTTCCATGGTATTTCTTGTTCTTTATACCATCTTTTAAGGATTACGCGATCGCAAATATTCGCATTATGTAAATGAAAATTTTTCGATAAACGTAATGTTGCGAAAAACGATAAAGATAGATTGTGATAATAATAATAATAATACGATAATATTCTTATCTTCTTAATTAATATTATTCGTTCTTACAAATTTATTTCTTTAATTTTAGTTTCTACTTTCTAATCTTTGATTTCTTTTTTTTTTTTGTTTCTCTTTAATTATGAAATAATAAAAAGATCTTGATATATAATTGAAAAATACTGTTTAATAATATATATTTGATGATTGAAGAAAAACATGGAAAAAAAGCTTATTCGTGGATGATTTAGGCAGTGATATATACTTACATACGCATTTAGTTATCGTGTCGCTATAGCGAATCGTTATAGCGGATGATAATAATTTAAAAAAAAAATCAATTGTCTCTAGTATTTATTAATAGTTACATTTTATCCATCTTAATAGAAATATACGTACATTATATTTCACGCTACTATAGTACTTACGACGCGATTCAATAACTCTACAATGGAAATTTATGAAGCTTATAATTAAGAAAATTTTTTATTTCAACGATTATTCTCTTATCACGATTAATTTATTTAAAAAAAAAATAATAATAATTTAACGGATATGAGAAGAGTTTTCTCTTAGGAAATTTTAATTACTTAGCACATGGAACTTGAGTAGTAAAATCTTGGCAAATCTTCGAGATAGAAATCGATGAAAAATTCATTAAAACGATAATTTGCGTTGAATAGTAATATCTTAATAAAAATTTTAACGAGATAATGATGACTGGTAATAGAAAGAAATAGCGATTATATTTCAACATTATAAATAAGTTGTAAAGTTTTCTAAAAGATTACGCAGTATCTATTTTTCAGTACGAAACACGAGTTAAATTTCTGCGTATGGCAAAATATTTTTTTTAACCTATTCTAATTCGCTGTATTTGATCTGTTGTCCGTTCCGCGTGACATGTGTGAATGATATCATTCGAAGAAATTATTGTTATGCATATTATGTATACATGGCAATTGTCGGATTTAGAAATGATTATCAATTGATCGAATTGTTTTCACGAATTGTAAAATTTCAACAATCCAATTAAATCGTGAAATAATATTTTCTCGTTTACTCGTAGATAGATTTTATCTTCGTTCTTCGTTCTTCTTAAAATTGAAATAAAATCTATTATTTTTTATATATGTAATTTCATTAAATTTATCTTTGATATGTACGGATATATATATTTCAATAGAGAAGAGAATGTTTGTATGATAAGTTGTTTGCATTCGAACGATACATTATAATTTTTTTTAATTTGATCTTTTTCAAAAATAACGATCGATCAAACCAAATGTCCATCCTTTAAAATATATCCTAAGATTCATTTGCAAGAAAGCGAATCGTACGAAATATTTCCATCGAACACGTTTCGTTTGCTTGTTTCTCTCCGTCTGGAAATCATAAACGACACGCGGCCATGGGAATGTTGAAACTTTATCTTTTCGCGTATTCATTCGCAACTATTTTAGATGTAATCTCACCGATATTTCTACATACCCAGAACATATATTCAACATAAATCCATCTTTTAACGGATATTGCGAACAAATTGTCTTTTCATTCATACGATATTCAATTATGATAAATATACGTATAATCACTTGTTCGTATTAATTTGTAATCATAAATCGATAATTTCACGTGATAGATAATTTTTAGCTATATTCCAACTTTCTTATCATAAGCTTTTTGTATCAGATTTTTTTAAACCATATTTTCTATGCCATATTTATTATTCGTTATTGTCACGTTACTTATAATTTTCTTTTTCTTATTAAAAAATAGGAAATTGATTTTTTATCCATCATGATTTAAATGATTTAATTATTAGTATTATTAGTATTATCAAAATTTTTATATAAACAATGAAGTTAGATTATAAAAATATATTTTTTTATAAAAACAGTTTTTCACGTTTTTATAGAATATTAGAATCGCACGATTGTATTTTTCAAAAAATTTAACAAATTGTCACTAAAATTAAACAAATATTAATATATACGATAATATGCGCCGATAAATTAAAATGTCTTTATCTGTTGTCAATATTCGTATATCAATATATACGTATACGTAACCATATGGTATAATGGTATAAAATTGCGTCAATTCGGTAGCGATATTTTCAAAATCGGTTTATATTTCAACGATCGATAGATATTCGAAGATATACACGATACAATAACGTAACTGATTACCGGTACATGATGGACTTTGATAATTATTATTTCGTGCTAGCTTGAATATTGCCAATAATTAATATTCAAAGATAAACAGTATTATTTTTAGATTTTCTCGTTTAGTTGTACAAGAATCATCGTATCGATACAAGTAATAAGTGATATGCCCACGATTTTTACGTACTTTCAGCACAAGGTTAAATTTACACGTACTCTGTGTAATTGTTTCGTATTATCGTTAATAGATTTTAGTAGACAATTTATTCGCCTCGGACTATCAACAAGTATCTCGTGTGTGTATTCCTTTCTTGGCGAGGCTTTTTGACAAATATTTCGTTTAATCTCCGATTTAACTTTTCTTTCCGATAACTTTAAAGAATATATTATATATTAATATGTATTCTATGTATAAAAACATTTTTAATAAGGTGATTTAAGGTAATTAGTTAGAACGAAACGTATGCGTGATAAGATTCCTGATTATAATTATATTATAATTTGTATTTTGCAATTTTGACATCGATGAATAATATTGTATGATTTTGTCTAATTTTGCGATATATTTGCCATCTGATTCAATACTATCGTATACAGTTTTCTGCCTATAGATTCCCGTACTCTCGAACAAAAATAGATGCCCGATTCTCTTTTGACTTCTAGCTATTCTATAGTATACGTGATCTTATTTTTTTTTATTAATCTTATTTCACATAAGTATAATAAGTAACGGAACGTTTTATTTCTTATGTCTCTTCTTTTTCTTTTCGGAAAAAATTAATGATTTTATTTCAAAGAAGAAAGAAAAAAGAAAAAATATATATATAAAATTCAATTTTTTTCATTTAAATATAGCATCTATAAAATGCAATATTTCATTAATTTTCTTTCAAAATGAAGTTAAAGAATATTTTATCATAATTATGCGCATATGTATGATAATGATAATGATAATGATGTTCTTCTTTTTTTAATATAAATTATGAATATGTAAATTTGTTTACTCTCATGTAACTTTTTTATGGTTGATAAGAGAAAGATAAGTTAAAAATAATAATCAGTTAAAAAGTTATAATTCATTTCTTATCTCAAATTTTTCGATAAAAAGATAAAATGATCGAGTTGCGTTATGGGACACAGTGTCATTTTTCATAATGACATAATTATGATTAATTTTTTTCGCAATTTAACCATATATATACATATGTTTATATATTTGCCTAGCAATACATCGCGTTACTCTAATGACTGGCATATATCCCGACATGATATTTTATCATGGAGATTTCAGCCGTTGGAAATATATTTATTTTATTTTATTTTTTTTTTCTTTTATACAAGGAAGTATATATATATAGAAGTATAGAAATTTATATATATATATATATATATATATAGAAGTATAGGAATTTTTATATAAGGAAATATATAAATAGAAAAGTGCAGAAAATGAGAAAAAAGGATCAAATTGATACTCGTTTGTCACATTGAAACGATTTACTTTTTATTCCTATTTGTAAACAAACATTTTTTATTAGATTCGAGTTATAAATCATCAGATTTCGCAATTACGAATAAAATTATTTAAAGTGTTTTTAAACTTTGCTTTCTGAATATTTTTCAACGATTATATTATAAATTTTTCGTATTATATTTTACACGAATTTTCCTTATCTGTTTTTCAAAATTTCTCTCCTCGAAACGTTTCGGTTCGAATTTTGATGAAAAACTTGATATTCAAATATAAAATCCGATTTTTAAAAGTCATTTAAAAAAATTTTACACGGTTTATGTGAATGTTTTATATATATTCGATTTTTCCTATTAAAAGATTTAATCCATTCGATTATCGATCATAAATAACAAATACGTGTAAAACATTTATTATTCGATTCTTCGACGATCTTTCTATTTATCCATCCATCCATCCATCAATTCATCAATTCATCCAAATTTCCTTTTACTCGATATTTACGCGAATAAGAGAACAAATGTCGGATCGGTAAAATCACGCATTACCTGCGGCACAAAAAACAAGAAGCAAACACTTCCGCATGATTTTCACGTATTCTGTTATTGATTTATTCGCCGAATTGATTTATTCGTCGTTGCACAAAAAAAACTGTAGTAGATACGAATAAAATCGTCTTCATCCTCGTTTACGAGTCACACTTCGATTCACACGCATCAATATCTTCCGCAATCTTATCTTGAAATTTGGTCGAAATTTTCAGTGAAAAATTCATTAATCGATGATTTTTAATCGCTATTTTTTTCGTTGATGCGATTGTCGAAAGCACGATCGGACGGAAGTGGACGCGAACACGAACGATAATGTTGCACGGTGGAAGTTGGCGAGCGACTGAAGCCGCCGCCACTTTCATTCCGCTCGATGTCAAGGTACGAGTATGCGAGGCGAGCTTTCGATCCAGACTTCTCCCCTATATATACTTGCTCGATCTTCACGCTATTTTTCAGCCTTCTATATAATATAAAACTAACTATATAATATAAAATATAATCGATTACAAATAAATTTTCAAATTTCTTCTCTTCAAATTCTTCAAGTTTTTCTTATTATGAATAATCTTATTCAAATTTATTAAAATTATCGATTATGAAATCGATAATTTACTAAAATTATACATACATAATTATCTATATATTTTCTTACTCATGTTAATCATAAAAATTTTCGATGATGGAATAATTATTTTCTACACAGTATTAAATCCTTCGTATTATTCTGTATGTACTATTATTCTTCGTAATTTCTGTATGTACTATACTGTACTATAAAACTATAAAACGATTAAACATCGAATCATCATTTATATGATAATTTATCGCTTCATTGGCTATTTTATCGAATACGCAAAAATATCTATTGTGGATAAGTTGAAAAATTATTTCCATTAGCTATTATTGTTATTCGTTTCTTCAAAAAAATAGAAAAAAATACGATTATGCGATCATTTTTATCACTTTCGAAAAATGATCGTATAACAATTAAACAAGAAAGATAAAGTTTATTTCGAGAAACACACTTAAAATTGAATTAGTTACTTGAATGAAATGATTACGTAAATTATTATTATTAAATGAATCATATAATTTACAATTATAAATATAAATCTTGATTTATCCCATTCAACGAATAATAACTAATTATCATATTGTAATTTATTTTCGTTTTTAACTTGGTAACTATAAAAATCGTACGTATCTGTAAATCTAGTCGATAATTTCAAAATCAATTCATAAAAAAAATCGAATTAAAATTCCTTCCATTGTTATCGCATTTGTAATTCATATCGATAAAAAATTTCTTTTTCTTCTCTCTCTCTCTCTCTCTCTCTCTCTCTCTCTCTCTCTCTCACTCACTCACTCACTCNNNNCTCACTCACTCACTCACTCACTCACTCACTCACTCACTCACTCACTCACTCACAAGTTTAGGTATTCAACGTATAAAAAAAAAAAACAGCATAATAACGGTTTAGTTTGAAACGAAGGTCGTGGTTTGTGGTAAACAATAATTAAGGATAGAATAAATTATGATAAAATAAGAGATATAATAATTTTACTAGCTATGTATGCTTAAGTTTTAACACGTATGCAATATATAATGTATACATACATTTAACTAGGTAGTAGGTAGTAGTAGGTAATAGGTAAATGTATATGTGCACGATCTTTCGACAAGCAGAAAAAAATCTGTGATCTTTTCTCGTGTTTTCTCCTCAATAGGTTGCCAATGAATAGGACGTATTGGCAGACGCACACTGTGAATTCACAATTTCCGTGGAACACAATGCGCAGAATGTTGACTTTCCTATAAACCGCTTTTTCATGCCTCGCGGCTGCCAATAACTGACCAAATATCATTATCTTTGTCGTGCTGTTTTCTTTTCCTTAAACTCGATCAACACTTGACAACTAGCTAATACTAGTGCTTTGCGCATTAATAAAAATTTGCAAAAATAAATATATAATTTTTTCTTTCGTCGAGAACGAAGAGAGAATATATTTTTTTCGTTTTTTCAATTTTTTCTCGTAATTGTTTTTAAATTTTTACGAGTATAAATAAAATAAAGAATAATTGCGAGGTATCTATATTTCATTTTTGTTAAACGGAGAATAAAAAAAAAAAAAAAGAAAATAAAAAATAAACCGAGAAAGATAAAGTTGAATTTAAATAAGTAATTGTGATCTTTAAAAATACAACAATTTCATCTTTATGATTTTGTAATCTTAGAAACGTTATATTTGTTTTTTTTTTTTTTATCGTCATTGTACAGAATTATAATAAATGATATTTGAAATATAGGTCACGCTTAAATCGGTCGAGATGGAATACATTTAGCTTTTCGCACATTATATTTTTCCATTATTTTCAATTATTATCTTCTATTGAAATTAAATGGATCATTAAATACGATATTTCATCTATCCGATAAATATTTTCAATCAAGCATCATGTTTTATCAAAATTCGATACATTTTAAATATCATCGTTATGATATTTTAAAATTTTGAAATAAATATTTTACCGCAATTGTATTATTATTAATTTTTTATTTCACACATGTCTACGGTCAACTATTTAATTTTCAATGAATTGAAATTTTCATGATTGTTCAATGGATTTAAAATTTCCATAATATAAATTACAATTGATGTTTTATTACTTATTATAAATAAATGTTTAATATCAAATCATAGATTAAATTTAATTTTCTTAAAAGTTAAACTCGAAACAAAAAAAAATTCTTTTGCTCGAAATATTCCATTTTTTTCTTTATTTTGTTGTTAAAAAAAAAAAACACTAATTGTGCGTAATTTTTATTCTGTATTTAACTCGTTTAAGATATTTCAGTTTCTCGAACATTTTTAAGATTATTTATCGAAATCGTGTGTGTCTCTTTCATGGTTGTTAATCATCGTTTGCATTTTTCAATCGTAAAGCGAAATACTTATTTATTTCATTGTTTTTCATTTCTAATTCTGGAAACGTGTTAAGGTTACGTTAGGTTAAGATTAGTAGGTGTTAAGGTTAATTCGCCATACGCTTATCTGATATATTTTTATTACATTCACTTTCCATCCTTGTTGCTATTTTAATTTGATTTTTTTAATTAATTTCCCGCATTGATGTATCCATCGCATTTTCGATTCGTTTTATCATAAATTTGTCTTTTAACAAATTTTAATCTTTTCTTAATTATCGAAATTATAATATTAAATGTGAGATACCGTGATATACCGTGAGATACCGTTGTTTCCCTTCTAATGGTTCGTTGTTCTCTCTCTCTCTCTCTCTCTCTCTCTCTCTCTGTTTCTTTTTTGAATATCAACATATAATCTTTATATATCTCTTATGTCTCGTTTCATTTGATAACGATAGATGAAACACGAAGAATTTGTTGATTCGTATTTCATTGACTTTTCTTATATATTATACGAATAACGTGATAAATGCAATGAATATAACGTAATTTTATTTACCGGTACGCTATTTTTCAAAAGTGAGTAGATTACGTGTTCGAATATCACGAGAAAGAAAATAGAATAATCCTATCCTTAGCTCGTAGTACGTGATACTTTATGATTTATACAGATGAAAAAACTTAATCATTGTAACTAAAAAGAACAATGCAAAAATACAAAAATTAAGAGAATGAAAAAGAAATAAATTTGAATAATTTTTTAATGGATGAAATATATTTGAAACGAAATATTTATATATGTGTAGCGTAGTGTTTTTCTGCTCAAAAAACTTTCTTCTAGAAAATAATTTGGAAGCGAAACAATGTGATAAATTAAATTTTTATCTTTCCTTTTTCTTTAAAAAGAAAGGAAAACAAGAATTACCATACTATGCTTCAAATCGAAGAAATAACAATTTTCGAAAAATTTATTGGATATTTTACATCTTTCTGCGATATATTATTCATATATATAGGAAATAATTGAATATAATAAGAAAGAATCTTCTAAAATATAATGAAATTTTCGTATCGAAAATTTCGTGGCAAATAAATGACCAACACCGAAAGAAAAATTGTTAAAATTCGACGAGAAACTACCCTTGAAAAGAATACTCACGAGATGACTTGATTAACGGAGAAATTATCTTCGAAATTCTTGGAATAAGTTATTCGAAAGCATTTCTTCAAGAATAACGGCATCCAAAGATTCCGTTTCAAATTCCGCCGATATCAATCGCAGATATGTTTGTTAAACGTCTGGCACGCGGCCATTTCAACATTTCTTTGATTAATTATAAAATTTATTTTATCGTTTTCTAACAAGTCATTTCGTCACGTTTCCTCAAATTTCTTAATCGCATAAAAATCATCTTACTTTCACATGTATACGTATACGACGTTTTTGTTTTGCATCGAAAATGAATTTTCACTGGCATTGAAAATAACATCGGTATAATTTTATTACCGTACCATTTATTTTGGAAAAATTAAAAATTTGCCAATATTTATGATATTTATATTATATTTTCCTTTAATTCTTATATCCCATTGTTATCGAATATTTATTTTAAGTCAAACGTACGATTTAAAAATCACAATGAAAAAAGTTATCAACTAAATATTAAACATTTGTATCTGTAAACTATGCACGATGATTTAAACGTGGATTCATTCGTAAAAGGATATTAAGTAAGTATTTACGTATTAACGTATAAACGTATAAATTTAATAAATATCTTTGATGGGATAATATGGATCTGATCGGAACACGACAAATTAATCACTATTAATTTGTTTTCGGATTTTTTCTTTATAAATATGTTTTAAAAAATTGCGATATTTTAGTCGAATTTATAATATTAGGATCGAAAAAATAATTATTTTTATTTATTGAATATGGAAAATCCTGTCATCGAAGCAAAATTAAAAACGTTCGTTTCATTATTCTCAATGGATGGGGAATGAGGGATTTTTAACAAATATGTCAAAGCGGTCTCTGTATATGGCCAAGAAAATATTGAAGAGTTCGAGTTTCAAAGGACGGCGCATCGTTTAAATCTTCAAAAATCGTTGCATGTTCGATTATTTCGCGCGATCGTTTTTATTTTGTAAAATGAAACCGTAAAATTCTCAATTTTTTCTTTTTCAAAGAATTCTCGCTCCATTAATCCAACACGATGAATGCATTCGGGATGGTGAGATGTAGTATAAAACATTTTGTTATAATTGAATTAATACAATTTTGTCGCATTTAAATACACTATTTGAGAAAGAACTTATTCATTATAATCCAAATCTCGAGAATATATGAATCGTATCCATAGATAGATATCAATTTTTAACATTATTTTTAGAAAAAATGAAATTTTTTTGAGAAGAAAATTTATATTATTATTATATTATTACGA